GGCAACGGGTGTCCGCGGGCGCCCAGTCGGCGGGCATGCCCCCACTCCAACGGGCAACGGGCGTCCGCGGGCGCCCAGCCGGCGGGCATGCCCCCACTCCAATCATCGCCCCACCACGTTTAAAACTATTTAGTTTAGTTGGCGCCATTTAATGATATCATTACTTTTGTAGAGAAGATAGTTTTGTAATGAAGATATTTTTGTAGAGATTGTCATAACCGCAAAGTTCCGCTTGACGTGGAGTGAACAGCACGTCTTCTAAAGTATCGTCTACAATAGATGAAGTAAGCCTGGCGTAAGAAGTAAGAGTAGGAGTAAAGAAACAGATCACTCCCATTTCTTACTCCTACGATCCTTAACGTCTACATCGGAAGTAAGCAGTAAGAAGTAAGAAAACCATAACCTTTACTTATCAGTGTAAAAGCTAAAGTACAGGCATAACTTTTTAAAATATTTATAGTCGAACTGCGCTCTAATTCGCCGACAGTAAGCGTCAGAGCTCATTTCTTTACTCCTACTCTTACTTCTTACGTCAGGCTTACATCATCTATTGTAGACGATCCTTAACCTAGAAGATACATTTTTATCCTGCGGGGTTGCATCGTCCCATTACATCATCCCGCGCGAGGTCCGATAGTAGGGCCCCTGCATTGTATAATATTAGCAATTAAAACTTGTTCGAAAAATCACAACGCGTCTATAATTCTACAACGTCTATTGGTTCGTCGTGGTCCTGTCGGCCCAGTGGTATGTATGAATAAGTGCATTATTAAATTAGTTTTCAAAAATTAAAATTTTCTTATTGTTTTATTTGTGATAATAGAGGCATGGCGACATGGACAAAAGAAGCTGTACAAGTTCTCATTGATGCATACAAGGACGAGCCTTGTTTATATCAGACAAGAAATCCGAATTATCATAACAAAACTCTACGTAATGAAGCATTAAATCGTATTTGTGCAATGGTTAATGCCATTAGACCCAATACAACAGAAAAAGATTGCAGTGTTAAATTTTATAATTTAAGAAATCAATTTAATTCTGAGAATGCCAAAGTGAGAACATCAATGAAAAGTGGTATAGGTAGTGAAAATGTAAGTATAAAAATAATTTATAGATTCAACATAAAGATTCCTGAGAGATTTATATACAAAAATTTCAGGTGTATAGACCCAATTTATGGTACTACGATGCTTTAAAATTTCTAGAGGAACATATAATTCCAAGAAAAAGCAGGACATCACATTTACCAAATATTACAAAAAATACGCCTGTCTATTTATCACAAGTAAGTATTTAGATATTTTAATGTGTTAAATTTTCAAAAATCAATGTATATTTCCGAAATGTGTTACATAAGATGAGATATTTAAACAATAATTCTATATAAATATGTTAAACATTAAAATTAGATTTTTACAAATCTTTTTGTAATATTAGATAAAAATAAGATTCTATCATTTTAGATTTTATGCGACTTACAAATATTGAAATATTCCAATAATATACATTCTTTAATTAATTATATAAATTTTAATATACTTGCTAAAGACAGATAAGACTCTCAATATTTAATACAATGATTAAATATATATCTTAGAACATATATACCTGGAAGGGGAATGCCTTTGTTTCCCAGCTGCCGAAACTGTCCAAAACATGAGATAGAGAATATATCTCCTTCCTTGTTCTCGAGATGGGCAAAGGTAAATCTGCGCATGTACAGTTCGGACTGCGCCGATGATACCGCGCATAAATCTTTTTTCCCCAAAAGGTTTATGCGCGGTGTCATCGGCGCAGTCCGAACTGTACATGCGCAGATTTACCTTTGCCCATCTCGAGAACAAGGAAGGAGATATATTCTCTATCTCA